ACGCGTTTCCACCCATCTTCAGGCCTGTTTCGGCTCGGTCGCGTGTTGGCATGCCGAGGTACAAGCAGAGCCCGGACGGCGAAGGCCAAAAACGGCCCCAGTTGGAGTGTTCACACTTCCGCCCACCGGCACTCGTGCAATCCGGAGTTGTCAGGTCTTGAGCAGGGCTTGTGAGTGGTACGGGTCGATTGATCGGCACACAAAATGACCCATTAGGAGGCGTCTCGCGGGGAGTCTGCCTCCCTTCAGTCCGGTTGCCGGGCAATCGATAAGGGACGGCGGTATCGTAGACAACAGAGATCATTTATCCAATGGACGCCTTGTGTGCCGCATGTCAACGGGGATGGCTTGACTCTGTTTCCTCCGGCCGCTTGCCCTTCATTTGACCCCTTTGCTGCGCCTGCTCTGGGACTCGTGCTTCGACCAGACGGCCGGACCATACCGGACCGGACCGGACCGGACCGGACCGGACCGGAACGGGCCGGGCCGACGGCTCAATCGGCCCAATGGACGTGCAACCGGCCTCGAGCCAGCGCTGCGTCGTGCCGGCCTCGAGCTCGCCAGCTCCGTCAGGCCGGCCAATCAGGCTGCGTCTTCCCAGTCGCCAAGACGCAGTCGCCGGGCCGCAGACGGCGCGAGATGACGTCGAATAGTCGAGGACACCTCGACGAGATCGCTTGCCCAGCGACGCATCTTGACACACCCAGTCCCCCCCCCCACCACCCCCACACTCCACACCGACACACACGCACACACCCAGCCCATCGTCTCACTTGGACACAAATCCCGCGGTGTAGGCCGGAATGTCGACGCCGCCGTCGCCATCGCCGCCGTCGCCGCCGCCGATGCCGCCGCCCGGCGCCTGGAGTCGCGGACACGCCGTTTCTATGGGCCTGTTCGGCCAACTTGAAGTTGGCCAGTCGGGCGGTTTGAGTCGCGGTGCATGTCTGCGTCCGACGCCCGTCAAGGCGCAACCCTTGACTTGGCTGGCCGACACGACCGGCCCCCTCGGCCGAGGCCTCGGCAACAGCTCCGGCCTGGGCCGTCTGTCGCCGAGGGAACCGGACGCGGCTGCCGACTCGGACGCCGATGGCAACGTCGAGGCGACCGGCTCGAAAGCGGATCTGAGGACGGCCTTTCGGCGCGTCGGCCAGCCGCAGAGCCGGGCCGGCGAGGCGACGAGTGACGCGAAGAGACGAGCAACCGAAACAACGAACGGCGACGGCGACGGCGACGGCGACGGCAGAGACCGTGACGAGTCTGAATCGGTGGATGTGAGAGCGTCGGCAGATGCAGCGACCGAACGAGACCAAGTCAAAGTGGCCGAAGATGGCGAAGCGAGCAGACCGAAAGTAGGACGGATTTCGACGACAGCCTCAAACGCAAACGCAAACGCAAACGCAAACGCAAACGCAAACACAACCGCGACGGCCGTCCGTCGGACTGGAGGCGGCCAAACGGGTGAAGGTGGTTGCGCCGAGACGGCGCCCCTGGCGCCCGCGACGACAGAGGCCGCCTCGTCGGGGCGACAGGACTCGAATTCACGGAAATGCATGACTGCAGCCCGAAACGCAGCAACCATGCAGGCCGGTCAAGTCTGCAGCGACGGGCTGTACATTCTGCATCAGTCCATCCTGGAACAGATCAAGCGAGGCATCGCTCTGCCGCTGCGCTCCGTTGGTACTCGAGTTGCCGGGCATCGTGTGCAATCGGGTTAGTCACATTGGGCCCCCCCCACCCACCGACGCCTTCAATGGTTGCTTCTCGTCTCGCCCAAACGGCTCGGCAATGCGTTTGAGGCGCTTGCCGACGCAGGCTTCTATGCGCAAATTGCCGATCTATCCGAGGCATACTCACACGGAATATAAGTAGTATCGTCGATTGTAATGCCAAATGCCGGTTTGACACTCTACGACAATCACACTGCATGCTATTCACAGTACCGATATCGAATATTGTTGGGCGGGGAAAGGGGGGTGGTGGATTTTAATAGAGGGTGTTGCAAATGAAATTCAGCGGCGTCGTGAAGTATTTTCGGATGATTGAGAGAAAATACTCCGCCAGCTCTACCAAAATCACTTTGAGGCTGACTAAGCCTCATGATGCTTAAGTGATTCTC